GTAATTTTCACCAAATAGCAATATCTTTCTTTATCTGTGAAAGTAATTTCATATAATTATCCTCTTTTATGGAAGAGCATCTTCCTGTTAACCAAATTCCTAGATATTTAAGTTTTTTGACACTTTGTAATCCCAATTTCCTTTCCAATTCTTTTTTTTTTTTTTTTTTTACTTTCTATCAAGTTTTTGGTTATTACTTTTGTTTTATCTTTATTCATTTTTAGTCCTGCTACCACCCCATATTCTTCTAATTCTTGAATTAGATAGGTCCGTTACTCCATTGGATCTTCCACAAAAAACACTAAGTCGTCCGCAAACACCTGTACTTTATATTCTTCTTTTTTGCTCTTCAGTCCAATTATCTGCTTTCTTTGTCTAATCTGATTTAAAAGCACTTTGATGGTCAAGATAAAAAGCAGAGGCGGCATTGGGGAAAAAAAGTAATTCTTTTATTGGCCAAGTGTGATTTGACACACAAGGAATTTGTCTTGGTGCAAATGCTCTCTATATACATAAAAGAAAATATATATTCATTGAGAGTCAATAATAATAAGGTACAACACTTAATAATAGTCATAGGAAAGTAATCAAATATAATAGGTAAGCAATCAATCATAGTCATAGATAAGCAATCAAATCATATTAGGAAACAGTCCATATAAATTGTAAGGATACAAGTGACAAAGTTACAGTCATACAGTCACAAGTGGGAGGGGATGGGTGATAAGGAGTGATGAGGAGATTAATAGTAATAGTAGTGCAGACTTTGTAAATAGTTGGACAGCGTTGAGGGAATTGTCATGACTTTATCTCTGTCATCTATTGATAGTTCTAGAAACTACGTACTTTGTTTTAATGTAATTTAATCAAGATGGCAGAAATATAAATTAATGGATAGATAGATAGATAGATAGATAGATAGATAGATAGAAAGATAGATAGATAGATAGATAGATACCATGTTTCCCTGGAACTAAGACCTATCCCAAAAATAAGCCCTAGCTTGATTTTTACATGTGTGCCCAATATTAGCCTTGCTGTAACTTTTTCCAACAAAGGGCTCATATTCATGTTAATCTGCTGCAGAAAAGTATGCTTGACATTTCGAGGGACATGTTCTCATGACCTTATCTCTAGGTCATCTAACTACACTTTAGGCACTAGGTACCTGGTTTCAGTCTTATATAACTAAGAGGGCAGCCATATAAATTAAAATAAAATGTACAAATAAACAAGGACCCTCTTGTTTTAAGGTTAACACCTGTAATTGTAAGGACCTTTTCCTATGTATCTTAACCGAGAGACTATTTTAGATCACTTTCAAAGGGAAGCAGCTTTTCAATTTTTTATGTAGTCTTGAAGAAAACTTTGCATAGTGATAAGCTTCTTTCTTCATCACAGTTTTATTCTCTTTTTTTTTTTTACAAATCTAGTAGAATAAAACTTTAGCCAATGTTTTAGAAGGATTTTGATTCTATAATTTAACACAAATACACCATCTTATTTTAAAATCATAGATATATGAAGAACGGAGAAATCAATTTTAATACAGCCATGAGAATAAAATTACTGGTTGTCACTTAATGCTTAAATCGTTTCTTAATTCCACCCCTCCTAACTTATAAAAGTCTTTTATTTCAATGAGACATTCTGTAAGCAAAAGGGATGAATGCCTATGGAGATGATCAGTCCTCCAGGTCATGGATGTCCCAAAGGTGCTTTTTCCAAGAGGCAACTGGAATTTGCCTCTTGGAAAAAGCACCTTTGGGATAAAAGGGATGAAATAAATGAAGACATTCTCAGTAGTTGTATCTCCTGCAATTATTTGGAAATATTTAGACAATTCAGACTCATCTAAGTGAAGGCTAGAGACTATTTGGCTAATATGCATTTTGAGCTTGATTCTCCATGTATGGTGAATGCTAACATATCTTTTTGGCATTGCTGGTTTTTCTGCTTAGTCTTTGCCTCAGTCCAAATGTGTGGAAAATTGTCACCCTGGATTTGTCAAGAGGGCTCGAGAAGGAGAGCCAGTTTGCTGCTATGACTGCATTCCTTGTCCAGAGGGGACCATCTCCACTCAGGAAGGTGAGTCACACCTGTTAAAGTAATTCCCCGTTAGGAGAATGAGCGCACACAGGGAGATGTAGTGAGAGTGGTGAAGAATAACACACAAACAGCACATAGCTACACTGTATAGTAAAATGTAGGTTTTACTTCCAGTAAACGGTTAAGCGAAGTCCAAACACAGTCCAAGTCATTCACGGTTAAAGCAGTCAGTTTTCAGTCCAGGGATAATCCAGTAACAAAGTCCAGTATCAAAAACAGTTCAGTAACAGATTTACATCAAATCCAAAAATAACGATGATCAGTAACAGTCAATAAGGAACAGCAATACTCTCAGCAACAGGACAGGAACTAAACAACCCAGGTTTCTGGCTCCATCTTATGGCCATTTGAGGAACGACACCCAATTACAATTTTAGCATTCCCTTAAAGAGGCAGTATTAAAATGTCTACCCTGGTTTATATATTTTCCAACCCAACTGTTAGGTGACTTACATTCCTAACATTCTCCCCTTTGGGTAGGACAATATATACAACCTTACATTCTATGTCCATAATCCTCACAGCAAGCCTTATGCTTTACAGAGCCTTGGGCTTTTGTAAAATGATCTACGATGTTATTTTCTGACATACAGTATTCCAGCTTAAACATCTTACTTTGCACACATTGTCTCACATTTAAATATCTTAAATCTGTGTGTTTTGATCTTATCTTAAGAGCAATATTTGAAGCCATTTGTATTGCTGATTGGTTGTCTTCATAAACAACAATAGAATCTGTTACATCAATTTCCATATCAATTAATAGTTGCTTATAACAAATTAAATCTGTACATAATAAAGACAAACATGAGAATTCAGCCTCCATTGTTGACAAACTTAAATGTTTCTGTCGAATAGACCTCCATGCAATCAACACCATTCCCAATAATACTACAGTACCCCATGTAGATTTACGTGTATTTACATCTGTAGCCAAACTTGCATCGGCATATGCAGTTAGACTCAGTTCATCTTTAGGCTCCAAATACAATGCATAATGCATTGTTTGTTTCAGATATCTTAACACACGTTTAGCAGCTTGCCAGTGCCTTACAGTTGTCTCAGCATAAAACCTTGCTAATTGATTAACACTGTATGCAATATCTGGACTTGACCAATTACTGAGATAAGATAAACTACCAATCAGGCACTGATAAATGTTCTTATCAAAAACAGGACATTGACCATCACTGTGGCTAAACTCCTGGCACATCGGTGTTTTAGTCAGTTTACAAAGTTCCATTTTAAAACTTTTTAGTAATTGGTTAATTTTATCTGCCTGTGAGATTTTGTATCCTCCCCTAGTTTTATCTCTTTAAACCAAGATATTGTTTGATTTCTCCTAACTGTTTTATCTTAAATTTCTTTTCTAACAGTGAAATTATTTTAGTAGCTTCTTGTTCAGTTTGGGTGATTAATGCTATGTCATCATTAAACAATAGCAACAATGAAATTATACCATTTCTTTCCTTTTTAAACAAACTTGGATCAGCCATGCCAGCTACAAAACCTATCTTAGTTAATTCTTTAACTATACACTGGTTCCAATCATATCCTGATTGCTTCAAGCCATAAAGACTCTTTTTCAATCTCCAGCAATCAGTTGTATTATCATTTTTGAGACCTAAAGGTTTCTTTAAATAAATAGTGTGTTGCAACAGTGCATGCAGATATGCTGTCTCTACATCTAAATGATTTACAATGTATTTCTCCTTAGCTGCCCACACTAATGCTGCTCATAATGTAGTAGCTTTCAGACTAGGCACAAACACCTTATCGTAGTCATTTGTTGTCTGATTGAACCCTTGTGCTACTAACCTGGCTTTATGGGTAACAGTCCCATCTATACCTGTCTTAAGCTTATAAATCCATTTACACGCTATGGCATGTTTACCTGGTGGTAACCTGACATTTTTATATACTTCCAAGTTTTTTAATGATTCCAGTTCCTTATCTATTGCTTCCTGCCAAGCAGCCTGATCCTTAGCAGGATACAATTTCAGTTCATTAAAATTACTTGGAACTGTATTCACTTGGCATACAACACTAGCCTGATATCTATCAGGTGGTCATGTTACTCGGGTTGAACGTCTCAGTAATACAGGGCTAACTGGTGGATTCCCCTGTTCCACCTGCTCCTGTTCTTCTATTTCTTCCTGTGCCTGTTCTTCTACTTCATCCTGTGCCTGTTCTTCCTCTTTAATGGCTATTCATGGTTTACTTAATTCATCTTTAGGGACTATTTGGGTGTCAATAATAATATCATAGCTGGATTCCTGTTACAGTTTATCCCACCCAACGTGCTCAAGAAATTTTGCACTAGCACTACAATAAACATGAACTGTGCCTGGATCCCAAAATCTAAAGGATCTATGGTTGGCCTCGTAACCTATAAAAAATAATTTCTCAGCTCTAAGTTGCCCTTTCAGTCTTACTTGTGAGGGAATATGCACCCATGCTGGAGCTCCAAATGTGTGTAAATAACTTAAATTTGGTTTTCTGCCATGCCAACAAGTGAATGGCAATTCTCCAGTTGTTGTGTTAACTACATTGTTTAACACATGGTTACTACACATTAGGGCTTCACCCCACAGTCTTTCAGGCAAACCTGAGTCAGATAACATAGTACGAGCCATGGCTTGTAACGTTTGCCCTCTTCTTTCTACAAACAAGTTATGTTGTGGTCTCTAAGGTGCAGAACATTTATGCTCGACACCAGTCAATTTCAGCATTGTTTGGAATCTATTGTTAACAAACTCAGTCCCATTATCAGTAACTAAAGTAATTATTTTACTCTTCATTTTTCTCTCTGCAAACCTTAGCCAATTAAAGAAATGTTGGGATGTTTCTGTTTTGTTTTTCATGAGATAGCAGAAACCGTACTGTGAGTAATGGTCCATTATACACAAAACATAGCAGGTACCTCCCAAACTAGGTTTCTTAGGACCAATTATGTCAGCAAACGCAACCTCTAAAGGTTCTTTGATCTTAAACCCATTAAGTCTGTTTGCTGGAGTAACCTTGCTTTTCTCTTGGCTACAAGCATTACAGTTTAAATACTTGCTACAGGATTTCAATTTTACTCCCTCTGACAATTCAACAGTTTGTTTGAGCATTTTGAAATTAATGTGCCCCAGACGTCTATGCAGTAAATGTATACATTCATCATGTGGCTTAACATTGTTATAAACCGAGTTAGCGATCTTCAACTGGTCATCATGTATCACATATAAATCATTCTCTAAAGTAGCAGTAACATTTTTACCCTCTTTCTCTATTATACAGTTATCTCCCCTAAAGGTTACTACATAACCAATATTAACTAAAGCCCTTACTATTAATACATTAAATTTCAGTTTAGGTACCTATAACATAGTTAAATGTTCATTTGCACAAGAACAATATGCAGTACCTTCACCAGATCCTTTCATCTTCCATCTATTTGCCAATGATATATGTTGCTTACTCGTAGACATCTTTATAAACCTCTCTCTATCTTTAGTAATGCACTGCGATGCTCTACTATCAACAACCCACAAATCATGGTTTACAGTTGAATTGCTAGACATAGCTAAACTAACATTCTTCTTGGCCTTCTGGTGAATACCAGTATTCTGTCATTTTCCCTTCTTACAGAATCTAGCAATATTTCCCCCAGCCCCACAAGAAAAACATTTCCTAACAGTATAGGCAGTTTTACACAAATCCTCTTCTCATGGTTGTTCCTTTCTCAGTTGATCTCTATCCAGTCATCTTCTTGCTTCTTCTAACAACCTTCCGGTTATGTCAGTCAATGTCAGTTCATCTTTGGTCAGGACTTCCAGTGAAGATACATAATCATCCAACTTTCATCCAATGAGGAAAAAATGATGTAAACGTAATGCAGCTCTGAAAATATCAGTTCTTTTTCATTTAGCTCTTGAAAAGTTCTTTTCATGAAGTTTAAATGAGCTAACATATCTCCACCTTTCAGAAGACGTGCTCTAAACAGTTTATGTGTAAGATGTATGTGTGCACCTACAGTGTCATAAAGCCTCCTCAAATTCTCCCAACACTTAGCAGCAGACTCTTCTCCACGAATATGGACTAGCTGCTGGTCACTCAGTGTTAGTCCAATACAAAGAGCTCTTTTGTTGATCTGTTAAAAGTCAGCTAACTTCTTGGCATCATCCTCATTTTCTGGATCCCAAGCATTTACATCCGGTGGGTCTTGAACTACATTCCATAATCCTTCTATATGCAGAAGTAGACTGCACTTCATAGACCAGGAAACATAATTTGTTCCATCCAACTGGGTTATCAGTGATACACTTGTTGAAGGGTCTTGTGCCATCTTTACCAGGATAGTAACCCACAATTAAACAAAACACAGCTGTCTGTATACAGTACTGTGTATTCACACCAACTCTCAGTTATCTGATCCTGGCATGGCCTGGGCCCATAACCAGTGTTGAGATTTTTCCCCGTTAGGAGAATGAGCGCACACAGGGAGACGTAGTGAGAGTGGTGAAGAATAACACACAAACAGCACATAGCTACACTGTTTAGTAAAATGTAGGTTTTACTTCCAGTAAACGGTTAAGCAAAGTCCAAACACAGTCCAAGTCATTCACGGTTAAAGCAGTCAGTTTTTAGTCCAGGGATAATCCAATAACAAAGTCCAGTATCAAAAACTGTTCAGTAACAGACTTACATCAAATCCAAAAATAATGATGATCAATAACAGTTAATAAGGAACAGCAACACTCTCAGCAACAGGACAGGAACTAAACAACCCAGGTTTCTGGCTCCATCTTATGGCCATTTGAGGAACCACACCCAATTACAATTTTAGCATTCCCTTAAAGAGGCAGTATTGAAATGTCTATCCTGGTTTATATATTTTCCAACCCAACTGTTAGGTGACTTACATTCCTAACAACACCATAGAAAAGGGTGGGCCTTGTGGAAATGAATTCATTCAGAGCATTTTCATGGAAGTGCAAGTAAAAAGGCAAATTGAAGCTCAACAGTCCCTACTCATAGCCACTCATGCCCTAGTCAATTTCTGTCTTGATTATTGCAACACTCTCTACATGGGGCTGCCCTTGAAGAGGATCCGGAAGCTCCATTTGTTGCAAAATGCACCCACATGGTTTTGTGCATAACTGATGTGCACATGTTTCACCTCTCCTGTGGGAGCTGCATTGGTTGCCGATTTGCTTCTGGGTGCAATTCAAGGGGCTGGTTGTCACCTTTAGAGCCCTTCATGGCTTGGGACCAGGTTATCTGAGGGACTGTCTCTTGCTGGTCACATCTACCCAACCCATTAGAACAGGGAGGCAGGTAATGTTGCAGGTCACATCCCTGAGGAAGATAAACCTGGTGGGACCCAGAAGAAGGGCCTTCTCTGTGGTGATTCTCTCTCTCTGGAACATCATTCCCCCAAAGATTAGAATGGCCGCCACTCTAATACTCTTCCAGAAGTCACTTGAGACCTGGTTCTGCCAGTGGACCTGAGGAACCCAGAATGGGATGGAGCCCATCAAATGGCTCATGTGATCTGCTGTCTTCGGGGCGGGGGATAGAAGTTGGGTGGTTTTTTTTCCAGATTTTGTTCTTTTGCACTTTATTAGTTTATTTATGAATTATAATTCTTTTTATTAGTTTTTATTGTTCTTTTTTAAGTATGGTTTTACATTCTGTAAGCCACCTCGAGTCACCATGGGTGAATAGGCAGCAATATAAATGCAATAAATAAATAATTATAAATAAATATTCATTATAGTCTCACTAGGAAGGTATTTGTGATCCACAATTTGTGTTGTGTTAAGGAATAGGAAGCCCTCATTCCATTGGTATTACCAATGCTCCCATTAGCCATTGGAGAGTATTTGCAAGACTTGCTTTTCCTGCTATTTTACTAAATTTTACAAGATATATCTTAATATACCGATTCCAGAATATTAAGTATTGTAATCCTGCAGGATTCAGGAAGTGTATCTAGAAAGGTTAACTGATTCATTATGAATCTCCTATACTGTAAGTTCCTATGGAAGTTCTGTACATTAAACATGAAATCTTTCAGTTCCCAAGATTTCCCCAAATTCCATAGATCTTAGCTATGTACAATATTTATATATAGAAAATTGTATTCCTATTAACGTTATTCTGAAGAGATGTTAAAACATGCATTTGGGGAAATGTTCCTGGTATCAGATGTTGTCCCAAGAAGCTACTTGTTTAAATATGAATGGGTGAATGGAGAGATTGTTAAAAAAACAAACCTTTTGGTATTCTCAGATACAGAAAAATGCACCAAGTGTCCACCTGATCAATATCCAAATGAGGACCGAGTCCAATGTATCCCCAAAATTATAAGCTTCCTGTTTTATGAGGAAAATCTGGGATTCATCCTTGTGTCTTTTGCCCTATTCTTGTTCTTAAGCACAGCCCTTATTTTAATCATATTCATTAAATACCGAGAAACTCCCATTGTCAAAGCCAACAACCGGGATCTCTCTTACATCCTCCTGGTTTCCCTCCTGCTTTGCTTCTTGTCTCCTTTTCTCTTCATTGGTCAACCAAGGAAAGCCTCCTGTCTTCTCCGACAAGCAGTGTTCAGCACCATCTTCTCAGTTGCCATTTCTTCTCTCTTGGCCAAAACAATTACAGTGGTGCTGGCTTTCCTGGCCACAAAACCAGGAAACCGAGTGAAGAGATGGCTGGGGAAGAGCTTGGCCAACTCTATCATCCTATCTTGTTCTGCAGGCCAAATTATCATCTGCTCCATCTGGTTGGGGTTTTCTCCTCCTTTCCCTGACTCTGACCTCCACTCCCAGTCTGGAGAGATCATCCTGCAATGCAACGAAGGCTCTGTTGTCATGTTCTACTTCACCCTTTGCTACATGGGCTTCCTGGCTGCCATCTGCTTCACAGTTGCTTTTCTGGCCAGGAATCTCCCTGGGGCCTTCAACGAAGCCAAGCTGATCACCTTCAGCATGCTGGTCTTCTGCAGTGTCTGGGTCTCTTTCATGCCCACCTATCTGAGCACCAAAGGGAAATACATGGTGGCTGTGCAGGTCTTCTCCATCTTGGCCTCCAGTGCTGGTCTGCTGGTCTGCGTCTTCATCCCCAAGTGCTACATTATCATTCTGAGGCCAGACTTCAATACAAAGGAACATCTTACAACCAGGAGAAATGTATAAATGTGAGGGAAATTTTAAGCCTCAACATTTTCCAACACTCCATACATAGGAAGTGGTCAAACTGCTCTCCATTCATAAGTGCTCCAGTGATTATGCTTGAAATAATTAAAAGGCATTTGAAATAATGAATGGAGGTGTCCCCAGCCATGTATAGTAAAATTCCAAAATGTCCACTGAGCTTTTTTGAATTCTCCAGGCAGTATATCTGTCTAATGTGCCACTGTGGTGCAATGGATAGAGTGCAGTACTGTATATATAGTGCTACATATATAGATTTCTTTTGAAATTTGGCTTGAGGCTCATGATTTGATTAGATCATTTGTTTGAACCCCGAGAATCACATTTTAAAGTCCTAATCATGAAGCCTAAGCTTCCAGGAAATGCTCTTATGCTTATAAATTATAGACCAATTTTGCCATTGAATGGCAATTATAAACTGTTTATATGAGTTTTGGCTGATAGATTAAACAATATTTTTCAAGAGTTTATTCATGAAGATCAAAGTCTATTGTTACATAAAAGACAAAAGACAATGTGAGAGTTGAATTGGATGTAATAGAATATTTACAACAAGATATTGAAAAATAAGCTGTGTGAATCTTCTTGGATAGAGAAAACTTTTGTTAATTTTCGTTTAAAGTCTGTATGTCAGGGTTTTCCTCCAATAATTAAAAATTACAAATCCATCCCCTGCACTCATCTTTCCATCACATGCCCCAATCACCATCCTTTCCAACTTGAGACCTCCCTTCAACCACTCCTCATCCAGGTGCAGAAATACCATGACCTTGACTCTAAAGAAGAATGCTATTATGTCTAACCCCATATGCTCCATAAAATCCCCCCTCCCAAATCCCAAGATCAAGAATGTGGCAGTGTGGAAACTTCTGGTGCTAATATGGCTTCCAAAGCTGACAATACCTTTTCTAGCTTTTGAGATTCAGATATTTCAATGGTGGTCTGATGGCGTTCCTTTTGATGGGATAATTTCTTTGGACTCGGTCATTCAGGGGGGAAGAGGTTAATCTTAGCCACTGGGAGGGGTGGAAATGAGTTTCAGTGTGCATAAGTGCACCATACGTGCCTCCTGTCCCTGTCCTATTGTCCCCTTTTAATCATACCTATTTTCTGTATTCTTACTCATGTTTATACTTATATCTATTATTTTGTAAGTGATTAACAAATCAAAATAAATAAATAAAATAAAAATAAAAAATATTGTGTTAATCCTGACGGCCTTAGCTAAAAGCAAAAGAAAGAACCGTCTCTGGCTGCATTCCTGTGGTTTCACAGTTTACTTTAAGTTAAACTCTTGCCTGAGGCCATTCTGCTAAGTGTCACGTGTCCAATCCTCCAAAACCAAGAAACAGAAATAAAAGGTTTGATTAACTGCTTTTTATTCTGGCAGGCCTGGAAACCTCAGCACATAGCAACCAAAACACCCTATCAAACCCTGCACCAGTAAACAGCAGTGTCCCCCAAGGCAGCATTCTAGGACCCACACTCTTTATACTCTAAATAAATGACTTTTGCGATCACCTTATAAGCAACTGCGTCCTCTTCACGGATTACATAAAATTATTCAACACCACTGACAATGCTACCATCCTTCAAAGCGACCTCAATTATGTGTCTGAATGTTCAAACAATTGGCAACTTCAAATCTCGACCAACAAATGCTCTCTCCTACTTACTGGTAAAAAAAATCAGTACTTGACACTCTGTCAAGGACCTGGGAGTACTCATATCAAATGACCTAAGCGCCAGAGCTCACTGCCTCAGCATTGACAAAGAAGCTTTGAGAGTTGTAAATCTAATCTTAAGAAGTTTCGCCTCAGTGGTAATATTGAATTACTAACTAGGGCATACAAAACCTTGGCTAGACCAATACATGAATGAAGCTTGGCTGTCTGGAATCCACATGTATATCAGACATTAATACAATTGAGCATGTCCAGAAGTATTTCACAAGAAGAGTACTACACTCCTCTGCTTGCAACAAAATACCCTACACCACCAGCCTTGAGATTTTGAATTTGAATTTGAATTTTAAATTTGAATTTGAATTTGAATTTTGAACCTAGAACTATGCCGCCTACAGTTTGACTTAAGCGTAGTTTATAAAATAATCTGCTTTAATGTACTACCATTCAATGACTTTTTCACTTTCAATCGCAATAATACAAGAGCACACAACAGATATAAACTTAATGTACACCACTCCAAACTTGATTGCAGAAAGTACGACTTCAGAAACAGAGTGGTCAATGCCTGGAACACACTTGTTAGGGATATACACCCTAGCAGAACCTGCACGGCAGTCAGGCAGGCAGGCAAATATGTGAGATAAACGTTGTTGTAGTTTACACTCAGTAAAACAGATACAATGTGCTAGTTAAATAGTTTATTCCAGTAAGATTTATAGCATAGTCAAACAGTCCATATATCATACACTAGTTCAGTCCGTCCGGGGATTAATCAGTTGCAAAGTCCAGTGTCGAAAAAGAGGTCAGTAAACTTACAAAATCAGTCCAGCAATATATCTCTTCGCAGTAGAGATATGAAGAAGTCAAACCTCCTTTCTTTCTTCAGCAACAGCAAAGAACACGCAGTTATCACACCATCAATCCATCATCGTCAGCAAGCAATCCAGTAAGCCAGCAATCAATCAGGTTCCCTTGCTCCCTCTTATGGCGTTTTTACAGCCGCACCCAAAATTACATGCTTTGCAGTTTAAAGTGACACACACATAAACTCGCTATCATAGTTTATATATATATTATTTTACCCAAACTACATTAGGTAACCTATGTTATTCCTAACAACACTACCTAACTCTGTTGTCACATCCCCAAACCCACACTCCTTTTCCCTTAAACTAACCACTATTGACCGCATCTCTTTCCTAAGAGGTCTGTAAGGGGCATGCATAAGCGCACAATCATGCCTACTGTCCCTGTCCTTTTGTCCCCAATCATTCATACCCATTTCCTGTATTGATACTTATATTTATTATCTTATAAGCTATTGACAAATAAATAAATAAATACATAAATAAAACACAGGCAGCAATAACCGTTGTTGCTTTTCTGCCTATTTAACCTTGCCCCCTGAGTGTGCCTGCCCCACCCACATGGCTGTTGTACTTCTAGAGAGGCCTGTAAATCTTTCTGTTGGGCCTAGTTCTTTCTTCTGCTGCCGGCCTCCTCTCCAGCTGATTGTCGGCTGACTGCTTCTTCATTGTTCACCTCCCACGCCATAAGTGTACTGTTTTTCATTATCCCTGTAAGCCTTCCCCTCCCTGAATGGCAACCCTGAAATGGTCCACTGGAGCCTCACCATTTCAAGGGTTGATACTAACCTTGAGTTTGAATGATTGATTTCTTTCTCCTTCTCAAGGACCTTTTACTCTGAGGCTTTTGTGCCACAGGCTTGGTTTCTGTGGAAATGATTATTATTTTGTTATGTTATGTTTTCCTATTTCCTTGGGTGAGGGGGTGAGTTGCTCTTTCTTCTATCACAAGTATAAAAAAAATTAAACATGCTGAAAAAAAGAAAAAAACATGTATTGGGAGTGCAGTCTTCTCCAAAAGATTAGTGAGAAACTCCTTCAAACAAAGAGATACACCCATATCATACACTCACAACCTGTTTGTGGCCCGCCAGCAGCTGACAGAGCTGGCAGCAGAGTCGGATAGTAGTGAGGAGTTTGGCGGGGGAACCTGGGCAAGTCTTGGAGGTTGAAGTAGGCCCAGAGGAGGGCTCTGCATCAGAGGCAGAGATGGGACCAGGGCAGGCTGGCAGTCATCAGCTGCCTTCAGACTCAGGCAGCAGTGATGCAGGGGAGTTTCTGGAACCAGTTCCCAGCCTGCACATGCACAGAGCTACCAGAGGACAAAAACAATTGAGAAAGCATGGTCAACTCAGTTTACTACTCAGAGATGATTGCCCCCTCCCATGTGACATAAAAGAGGAGTGAACGGGATGTGAGCTTTTGCAGGAAGCAATTAGTTTGTTTGGTTAGTTCAAGCTTTGAAAGTTCTGTTTGACTCCATTCCTTATGTCTCCATTTGCCTATGAGGCAGTCTCACTCATTTAGAAATTGATTTTACCAATACTATCGTGATTAAAAATAAGACCTGGTGTATTGTTATTGGTTTCTCTAAGGAAAATAAATATAAGTAGTTTTAGGAATAAGAGGAAAACTCAATTGCAGAAAATACGACTTCAGCAACAGAGTGGTCAACGCCTGGAATGCCCTACCCAACTCCGTTGTTACAGCCTCAACATCTTCAAACTCAAACTGTCTACCACGGACCTCACCCCATTCCTAAGAGGTCCTTAAAGGGGGCATGCATAAGACAGTGTCCATGGGTGATGACTGCTTTCTTGGCCTTAGAAGGCAGACGGCACTGGAGTTAAGAATCATCAATCTAAAATGTCACCAAATTCAATAGCTCTGACTGATATTGTTTCAGTGTCTCTGGAGACAAGTTACCACATTTAAAGGATGGCAAACATTACCTGGGTGCTGAAATAATATCTCCCAGCATTATTTTCAGGATATGCCCTGGTAATAGGAAGGGCCACAACCACAACAGAACGGTGCCTGCAGGGGTAGATTTGTGATTTTTTTAATTAGGATGTTTTTTCCCTGCTAATCCTCTGCAAATGAAGCACCAGAGAAGTTCACGATCCCAAGAGGAGAAGTTTCTTCTCACTGTAATTTTCATAGTTCTGGTCTTTGAGACCTCTTCTGCTACTTTTCTATCTTTCATGTAAACAAGACTGGAGCAACACGGAAGGGATCTTGCAGCAAAAAAGGATAAATGCCTAGATCACACTCTGTGGGGCACAAGTTTTGGGACCAGCAGATGCTGTGCTCTTGAATGTGCCTTTCTCTCTTTTCCAGGGCATATTCAGTTTGTCTCTGTCTGAATCTGGAAAGTCACTAGTATTTCCTTCTTGCAAGAATACTTTCTACCTCTTTTGGTTATTCTTGTTGAAAAACAGGAAGGGAATTGATTCAGCCCTATGAATTATGAAC